GAGCCCTGGGCGGCGGTTGGGCAGCCGGGCGCTCGCGCCGCCTGAGGGGACGGGCGACGGGATCGGGGCCGGGATCGGGATCGGGCTCGGGACCGGGAGGCGGGCGGGCAGCGCAGTAACCGGCGTAGGGGGCACGGGGCTGTGTCGCCGGTCGGGGCGGGCAGGGCCCGGTCGCTGAGGAGGGTGCGGGGAGGCACGGCGGGGGGCCGGTGGGTCGGGGTCGTGGTTTGCCCAGCCGCCCTTCGGCCGGCGGTAGCAAACGCCTGAAATGGCGGGGAAGAGAAAACCGGCTTCGGGCGGTGCGGGATCTCCGGCGGGTACAGCTGCTCTCGGCGAAGCGCGGGAAACAAAGACCGGAGCTGTTGGCGTCTTGGAAGACGAGGGGAAGTTCGTGTTGCTCCTCCCGGCAAAAACATTCAGGATTCAGTGGATCCGTGGAGAAGTAGCATTTTAGCTTCCAGTGTACTAAACTCTCTTTCAAGACCAGGAAAGGTTCAGTCCACTGAATCTTCAGTTGTGATTATCTGTAATTAATAATTGTGATTATATTTTCCCAGCCCCACTGAGGAAAGCAGTGCGCATGGCGCACAGTGCAACAGCTAGCCGGGTGTTTTTTTCTGCGTGTTGCAGTGTCTGCTATGTGGATGCTCCCCGGCTGTAGTAAGTAGCTGCTGACAGCTTGTGCTCCATAAGTTGCCTCGATTACTTTGCAAAATATGTGTGGAACCGTGAGGCACACGATGCCTGCCACGAGGCAAGCTTCTAGTGTGTCTCTCAGCTGCTGTGAACACGGGTTATGGATGGCTGCCCTGGCCTACAGCCTCAAAGCATCGAGGGAAGTCACAGCTCCAGTGTAGCAGGGGCACACCAGACTGGTACACTGATGAATTGGAACTGACGCTGCTGGTATGTTCTCATAATCTCTGAGGCATACTACCTGTCTTGATCATAAACATGTTTTGTGGCAGGAAATGAGTTACAATGCACAGACTGTCATGGATATGATGGGTTGAAATACGCAAGTTGTCAGTAATCAGTTCCTCAGTGACACGTGTTATAGATTGCAGCCTTCAGAGGCAATTCATTTGTAGGTTTTATTTGGGCATGTTTTGCATAGCCATTAGTAATGTACATTGTTGATTAAAATCTCAATTATTGTCATGAACCACAATGTAGGAGCTTATCTCATATATCCTAGAGGTAGTGTATTGCATAAATAGTCCAAGCTGCTGGCCCTGAAGCATACCAGAGCAGGCTTTATCAAAATTAGAGTAATTGACTGTGCTGTTCATTAACAGCATAATGAGTATCCTTTTATTTATTCTGAAGCTCAGTGAAGTTATTCAAATCAAGCACGACTGCTATTGTCAGCAGCTACATTTGCTATTTGACCAATGAATATTCAGACCATGACCTCTCTGCTATTACTTAAGCTTGTTTCAGATTCTAGACTGCCTTTTAAAATGAAGGAGTTGGCATCTGTTACTTTTGCTCTTTACTTGTGCAGAACATATATGTAGAATAACACATAATTTGCTGCTTCTTAGATACAGAAGATGGCAGTATTGTGCATTTTACAACGGATGAACCATTGACACCCATGAAAGTTTTGGAAAAAACACAACCAAATGTGTTTCATAAATCTTATTTCATTAAGGAATTCATCCTCCTTTCAACAGAGTAAGTGCCATAACAATAACCTTCCTTTAAACTATCTGTAAGTCAAAATTGAGAAATCCAATAATTTCTTTCATTTGTATGCTACATTTGGCATTTTCCCAATATACTTGGGGAAGGAACCATCTTAAGCTTGTAAGGAGATCCTCCTTTTCACTACTGAAATATATAAGAAAACGCAAAATACATCAGCTATTACAGATAGTCATAATGATTCTGGAAAAAGCTGCCATGCCTCTTTGAAACAGGAATACAATAATTGTGTTTTTCTCCATTTTGTTTATTAATTTATACACATAACAACAGATTGATATTCAAGTGCAGGCGCAGAATTCCATACAATTTAATTGATACAGTGTCAGAAAGAAACAAGACAGCCATTCCAGGCAAGAGCCATTCACATATCCAAAGTAATGTAGCATTCTGGTCAGTAGTTGTTAGCCCTTACACTGGGATTATAGACCACAGGCCTTTTCAGGCATAGTTTATTTTTGTGGAAACCTTCAAGAAATTTGTGGAACTCGCTCTTCCATGTTTCCTAAAGAAAAATATACCTGCACAGTATGGCACAATGTGAACCCTGTCATGAGAAGGTCAATACTGGCTGCACTGATTATGCTTCACAGAGTAGCATGGAACAGAGAAACTTTTCTTGTATAACTTGAAGTTAGGTACCATATTGCACTATAAATCTCTGCATGTCATTTAAGATCTGTGCACAGAACTATGCATGCGCAATAGACCAGCTCCGAGCAGGAGTACCGGTGCTCTGTCTAGCACACATTTGCACTTCGTTTTCACGTGGTTCTTCGGGTTTCCATTTCTCTTGTATTTCCTACTATTGTGGAATGACATAAGCAGAAAGCGTTCACTCTCTTTGTTGTATGCCTAAACCCCAGGTGGAAAAAAAGAAAGATATGTTTTGTAAGCATACAGATTATCTAAAAGTTGTCCTCATCATGATTTTTGCCATATGGTCCAGTAGAAGAGCAGTACCTTTCCTCATGGAATCATACAGCTTTTATTTTCCTAGCTGAAAAAAATGGACGTAAGAGAAAACGTGGGAAATGGTAGTAAATCGCTAACGTGGATTTGGTCGGCTCAGAAAATACATGTTGACTAGGAGACATTGAGGAAGTGTGGGTTTGAGATGGGAAGTGGTCAGTTTTTATTGACACTTTGGGGCTGTAGATTGTAGTATAAACTTGGAAGTGGCAGCGGCAGCACCGCCTTTCACTATCCCCTCAACGCTGGAAGTTTCTGTTTGCTCATTCTCAGCGCTAGCCCCGTTGTGGGCGATCCTTGGTCGTTTCCACTTCAAAGTGCATGTTTCAAGGCAATGTATGCGAACTCCAGAGAGCCCATCCTTCCCCCACCTGCTGCCTTATGGCTACGCTACTGTCTCGAGGGATAAACGATTTTTCACATACTGTCTACTTCTGTGAGCACTGATAAAAACTCCATCACAATGTAAGTCACTTTTGCATTATTACAATGCTGACAGTGGTGGAGGCCCTCATTCAACACCCTGTTCCCCCAAAAGTTACTTGGAAATCTCCCATTTAATGAGACTTAGGCTGGATCTGTATCAGCCCCCCTGGTCTATGGGATGATACTGACATTCACTTAGATCCTAATCTCATCAGCCTCTGAAGACTGCAAAAGACGTGCAGTGTTTGTCATTTCCATTGCACCCGGAGAACTGCAAAGCACTGTGTACAATTAGGTCTGCAGTTCTCCAGGTACATTTCCATGATGACTAATGCTGAGAGTAGCACATTGACTCTCCCCTCATAAGAGTTGAACACGACTACTTAAGACTAAAGATTAACTTCCTCAGAGTTTAGAACTGTTAATTTGTCAAATTTGAAAACTGAGGTTAAGTTTGGCCATAGCTGTTAATTAACTTATATGATAGCTATCAATATTTTACTTTCCTGGGATTTTCCATTTCAAAGACATTGAAAGAAGCAGAGAAGTACATTGCTAATTGCATCGAGAAGATGGAAGGGGTTTGTTTGTTTTACCTGGTCATATGCTTTCTTGAAATTTCAGTCCTCTTTTGATTTGTTTGGAAGTCCAAATTATGGTGTACTGCTAAGTATATACATACAGATAATACATGAACTTCTGGAGGTCACAGGCAGTGAAAAATATTATGGAGATACTGTTATTTTCAACCAGACAGACAAATTCATTTAGTACCAAAAGAGAAATAGTTCTTTGCACTAGTTCAGTGATATTTCTGGGATGCAGATTGTGCGTGAGATTCTGCAGGACTATGACTTGTAGCTCAACAGTAGTTTGGAAAAATAAAATTACTCTGAAAGAGGAGCTATTTAGAAATCTAATACCTCACAAAATGCTGAATTAAAAACATACCTTGTGTATGTGCATGTAGATTGTCATTTGTTCAAGAAAACTGATGCCTGACTGATTAATCAGTGGCAAACAAATGCAGACATGCTTAAACAGTGCTACATATCTAGCCAAAATGGGAGAAAAGAGGCTGGGCAGAATGTTATCCACACATGTAGATTTATGACAGGGACACAAAGTGGCAGAATGTCTGTCCTTTTAGATTATACTGATACATACTCTATTTGTAACCTGGAAAGTTACAGTGCTTTTTAAGACACTATTTAAAAATGTCATTGATTTGAAGAAAAGTTAGCTTTCTGCTAACACCTGATCTAGGCTTGCTTGTCCACCTGGCTCGTTTAAAAAAACATTCTGGCTTTGCAAAAAGATTTATAGATGTGCAGCAGTCAGTTGCTTATGTGCAGTGCTCTGTGCATATAGAACCAGATTAGCACATGGGCAGTCAGCCGGATGCATTTGACACGCATCCAAGTTGCTGTGCATGTATACATCAACTGCATGATGCTCTCCCTGTGAGCTCTGAGCTGGGGTGTTTATCACACTGCTGCTTCTCCTGGCCTCCTCCCCTCTCCACTGGAAAAGATCGTTTGTCTTGCTGCTTGCCAGCAAGACAAATTGGGGAAAATCGGCCATCCTGGCTGGAAGTCAGCAGCCCTGATCAGGGAATCCAGTCATGTCCTCTAAGGTTGTTCCTGCTGGGTGTCGTGTGCCTCTGATGTACTTTGACACCGGCTCCATGTGATTCCAAAGGAAAGAACTGATTTACAGTGGTTTACAGCGGGGAGAAGTGGTGATGCCACATATCAACGCTCAGTTCCATTTGCCTTCTGGCAGCAGGGAAACGATGCTTGGCTTTTCTGCTTTGTTCCCAAGTTCTCCAGTATTTTCCAC